ATTATATATATATATACAGTATATAATATTTAATCTTCATTTATGTATTTGTGTGTTTTTTCAGGGACATGTCCTCTTGTCTTCCCTTACGGTTCAGAGCAACAATATTATATTAAAAGAGAACTATGGCCCAACCTTTTTTGGTCATAGTTCTCTTTAGGGTCACAGGAGCACATTTACTATGTCCTCCTGTGACCCAAAACTCAGCATATAGCGGGACTTTTAGCCGCTATATGCTGACACCGCACTGCCTGATTCATAACTGTCTCGGCCTCTCTAGAGGCCGAGCCAGCTATGCCCACCCAGCTATGCCCAGTGTGACTGATGGTCACCGCTGTCTGCTGTGAGAAGATCAGGAACTCAGTGATCAGAGGTATGTGATACCTCAGTTCTCACTCAAAAGAGGATGCATGTGACAGCTTTAGCGTCACTCTTCAGCTCTAATTGTGGAGTATCTGTAAAAAATAAGTCAACAACTGGACTTGCTGTATTTTCCTTGAAGACGTTTCACTGGTCATCCAACCAGCTTTCTCAATTCAGAATGACTTCTACAAAACATTCTCTGGGAATTAATATGGTAAATGTTGCTCCAATCCACATAATATGTTAGTCACAACCAGGAGAGAGGTGTTAAAACAGCATTGTATGTGGCAGACAATAGATGTCCCACCCCCCTCCCCCACCTCTATTCAAGCTTGGCTTCTCCATTTTTACATAAATGGCCTCTTTCACACCTCTTTTAAACCTCCTCCTTATCTTGGATGTGTATTTCACTGTCTTCAAAGGAGTGACCTTTTTCCTTTAGATGTAGGTATACTGCCGAATCCTCACCAGAGGGTTTTGCTCTTCTATGCTGTGCCATACGCTGGTGTAGCTGCTGTTTTGTTTCACTGACATACAATTCTGAGCACTCCTCACTGCACTGAACTGCATACACAATGTTGCTCATCTTGTGTTTTGGCGTTGGGTCTTTTGAGTGAACCAGTAGTTGCCTCAGTGTATTGCTGGGTTTAAAGGAGACAGGGATGTGATGTTTTTTAAAAACCCTTCTGAGTTTCTCAGACACCCCAGCTACATATGGGATGACCAAATTCTTCCGTTTGTCATGCTTTTCACCCTCCCCTTTCCCAGATAATTTTTTGTACAAGTCATTCTGAATTGAGAAAGCTGGTTGGATGAGCAGTCAGTACCATCACAAGGGGGGTGCAGCCCGCACCTGGGTGACAACATTGCAGGGGTGACACCAAAATGACTGACACCAAAATGACACCCCCTCTAAAAAGTCGGTCACTCGGTCATGGACCGAGAGCCCGACAGTGTCAGGAGAGAGGAGGGGACATGGCAGCATACCTTATCCTGCCGGGGGAACGTCCCCTACTCTCTCTCTCTGTCCATCACCAAGATGTGTGCCGGCAGGCGTCAATCAGATGGCCAAGCATGCACGATGACGTCACACGCTGACGACACGGTGGGGTGACACCCAGTCTAGAGACCGGGTGACACCTGGCCTCGGGGCGCCCCTGTGACCCGTAAAACGTCTTCAAGAAAAATAGAGCAAGTCCAGTTGCCTCGACTTATTTTTTACAGATATACCATGACCTGAATGAATGAGAACCTTCACAGACATCTAATTATGGAGATGAGTGAATTTCACTCTCCCCGTAATTCTTCTTTAAAAAATTCTGCGTTGGAATCGAACTTCACAAAATGTTACTTTGTGTTAAATCTTTAAAGCAAAATAAAGGCCAGCGTTTTCCGTATTCTTGGCTCCTGTGTGCCCAAAGTAGTGCTGTTTAAAGAGAGGGGTCACCTAAAAATTAAAGATTTTAACAAGATTTGCTTTCCAATTAAGGCTTGAAATACTGACCTTTTTATTATGAAGGAGAAGTCTTTCACTGTAACAGGACTTATTCTTGATTACATCAACAATATTCATGACTTCAGGGAAAGAGCTCTATCATGGGGGTTCTCACAAACAACGTTGTTTTATACCATGGTATGACTGTAAAACATATTTTGCAGAAACCACAGCAGCTTTCGTTAAGTTATTGCTTTGCTGTCTAGGCTGCCTTACAAAGGTGTTCTCTGTTTATCATAAGCAATACTTACTGCCACAGAAACAACACATTCAGTATTTTGTTGAATAGAATCAAATATGTGAAAACATAATTTATAGTTTGCTGCTTAATATAGCCATAGATAGTAGTTATCCTTTGCTCCCAGGATCTGCAGATCTCTTTGAGTCATGTACTGATATCCTTATAGTATATATTTTCTTTCACAGGCTGTGGTAGTTTACTCTTAGATTCACTTGATTTTCACTACAGAAGATGGATGCAAGGTTTTTAATTTATGTTATGATTCAAGTTGTATCTAGGAGACATCCACTGCTATATTTGGGCAGTTTATGGACAAATCACACTGTTGGGGAAGCTTTAAGAATAATTTGATTTTGGTATAATAAAACACAAACCATTGAACTATTTCCATAAACATTCTTTTAGGTGATTAGCGCTGTGGCCTACCCATTTGGCTTGGCAGCATCTGACCAATATGCCACAGGCAAACACTTTACCCTGTTTTAAGTAACCTCAAAGCCATCAATGTCCAAGTGCACAAAATCCCAGCTAGGTTGCTGGACAAACAATGAGCTTTTTTGCTTGATCTTCTCAAGAGAGACTGTTTAACAGATCTCTGCTCTTCATTAAATGCCTAAGCTATGCGTCTGCTGAATGAGACCTTGTCATTTGTTCTCAATGGATGGAAATAGTTAAATGAGCAAATTGTTATGTTCATTTAAATCAATACCAAAGACACATATATTGTATTGCTGCCTCAAAACATTATCCAATGTTTTATGACCAATGTAGAGGACATCCAGTTATGTATGGTTCCCTCCCATGTTTTTACACTTACTGCGCGCTGATTCCTTTTTTTCATCATAGATGTTCATCATTAACCACAAAGACACTTACAGTGAAGATGAAGTAAAGTACTCATCTTGCCAAATATATTTTTCCAAGGTAGGAGGGGGCAGCACTGACAGTGTAAGCACTGGAGGAAGAACCACAGATGACAGTGTGGCCCTGAACTCCCTGACACAGTCAATTTTAGGATCACTGGAACTCCTGGTCCTTCATTTTCCTTGCCATTGTATCACATTGGGTGACTACTGCTTTGTTCTGCACTGAGCTGGACTTGCATATATTTCTGTGAAAGTGATGACGGTACCATGAAAGCATTTAACATGACTTGTGGGTTGAATTATTTTGGCAGTTTTTACTTTGTCATTTCATAACTTTTTGAGCATAATTATACAGGGGCATCCCCCGGTATGGTGTCACCCGGAGTGGCCAACGGGTGACACCCTGCTGGGATGTCATCACGCATGACGTCACATGTGCTTACCAGCCGGTGACCATCTTGGTATTGGACACTGGCAGAGAGAGGAGGGGACGTTCACCTGGTGGGAAAAGGTATGTTGCCGTGCCCCTGCCCCTCTCGTGCAATGGTCGGGCTCTCCATGACTGAGTAGCCAACTTGTTAAAGCGGATGACTGTCAGTCATTTTGGTGTCACCCTATATGATGGTGTCACTCGGTGTAGGCAGCACCCCCCTTGTGGCGCCACTGTACTTATATATTTTCCCATGTTTTTACACTTACTGCGCGCTGATTCCTTTTTTTCATCATAGATGTTCATCATTAACCACAAAGACACTTACAGTGAAGATGAAGTAAAGTACTCATCTTGCCAAATATATTTTTCCAAGGTAGGAGGGGGCAGCACTGACAGTGTAAGCACTGGAGGAAGAACCACAGATGACAGTGTGGCCCTGAACTCCCTGACACAGTCAATTTTAGGATCACTGGAACTCCTGGTCCTTCATTTTCCTTGCCATTGTATCACATTGGGTGACTACTGCTTTGTTCTGCACTGAGCTGGACTTGCATATATTTCTGTGAAAGTGATGACGGTACCATGAAAGCATTTAACATGACTTGTGGGTTGAATTATTTTGGCAGTTTTTACTTTGTCATTTCATAACTTTTTGAGCATAATTATACAGGGGCATCCCCCGGTATGGTGTCACCCGGAGTGGCCAACGGGTGACACCCTGCTGGGATGTCATCACGCATGACGTCACATGTGCTTACCAGCCGGTGACCATCTTGGTATTGGACACTGGCAGAGAGAGGAGGGGACGTTCACCTGGTGGGAAAAGGTATGTTGCCGTGCCCCTGCCCCTCTCGTGCAATGGTCGGGCTCTCCATGACTGAGTAGCCAACTTGTTAAAGCGGATGACTGTCAGTCATTTTGGTGTCACCCTATATGATGGTGTCACTCGGTGTAGGCAGCACCCCCCTTGTGGCGCCACTGTACTTATATATTCAAATATAAAAAATGAGCATGTAACATGAGATTATTATCCTGGGTACATAGGGGTAATTTCAGTACAATAATTTAGTAGGAGCTACTGTCTGGAAAATTCATAGAAATGATTAAGTAAATAAACACAAATCACCAGGAGGAAACATCTGCTCTTTTTTTGCCATAAAAGAGCAGATAGTAAGTGAAGCCTGAGAAATAGTTTTCTGGATTACTGCATAAGTGACAACATTTTAATAACCAGTGCCATCCCCATAATTAGGCAGCCCGAGGCAGTTGCCTTAGGCGGCATCTTATTGAGGGGGTGGCCGGGTAAAGGTGGCGGAGGCGGCCACAGCGTCTCAAGTTGCTAAGAGCTCTTAGCAACCTGTGACACTCTTTGTCACAGAGCAGACTACAGGAACCTGTAGTCTGCTCTGCAGTTTGAGACTGCTAGAGGCTGATACGAAAACAAATGTAGGTACTTACCCTGCTTGCAGTAAAAAAAAAAAATTTAATGACATATTAATAAATACATAGCTATATTAATGTGTGTCTTTTATATTTTCAGAAAAGCAGATTACCATATCAATAGGACCTTTCATTGAAACATTTCTTTTTTTTTTTCCATAGGTCCTGCTGTAAGATTCAACAGCTTTAATTCGTCAGCCCCTGTACCACCTCCTGTTTTGGGCCAGCACACTGTTGAGGTTCTGAAAACCTTACTGGGATATGAAGATGGCTACATTGCTGAACTGATACAAGCCAAGACAATATCTGAAAATACAGGGAATTGATAGCAAAAGATCTAGCAAAGTATTATTTAGCACCAGTTTAGTTTTGATTTGTAATACATTTTGTAAATGACATGGTTTTCAACTATTTTTACAGCAAATGCATCACTAACAATTTAATAAACATGCATATGAACTATATTATTTATTTTCTTCTGAATAGTCTTAAACCAGAATTAAAGGAGAACTATGGGGTTAAGGCTTTTTCCCATAGTTCTCTTTAGGGTAACGGGAGGACACAAACTAGCATCCTCCCTAGGCTCATATGAGACGCCGCAGTATACCGTGAGCTGCTGCTCACGGTATACTGAGACGCCGCAGCTGAAGCTGATCCCGACATTTATGCCGGGATCCGCCCAGCTGCGTGACTGACAGCTGGCTCTGTCTATCTAGAGGCAGAGCCAGATGTACCCGCCCCCTCCCCCATCCAATCCGCCAGTCAGTGCTGGCGGATCGGAGCGGGGAGGGGGGAATCCAGCCCCTCCCCTGTCACGGCAGAGAGCCTTGACATGATCGAGAGGTGAGCAAACGCCGGTATGTGTTCGCTCACCTCCCTATCTACTGAGCCGACCTGTGGCAGTCTCATTGTCACAGGTCGGCTAGAACTATGAGGTGAGTGAAAAGCACTCACCTCATAGTTCTATAGTTCTCCTTTAAGTGTTTTTAGAATACGAATAAAAAGTGAGTATGGAGGATCAATTAGTTAATGGTTACAAAACTCCTTGTGTTATCTGCATGTTATCTCTATGTCTAACTGTTTTGGATTTCTTAAAATTTCAGTCATTGTCTGTGGGGCTGTAGGAAACCTTTCTTTAGAGAAACATGGAGGCTTCTATCACTCTGTTCTTTGGCTTTAATAATTTGTTACTATCCTTGAACAAGTAGACAGATAATGACTTTGGAATTTATTCTGACCATCCTGATATGCATATCCATTCCAGGTCAGTAGCCAGGCAGTTAATATTTTTAAAAGGTTATAAGCAGCTCCCACATTACATTAGGGATGCACCGATACCAAGTACCGTACTCGGTACAAGTACATGTACTGATAATTTTCGAGCTCCAAGACTAGACTAGAGAAAAATTCAAAAGTTAGGAGGCAGCTGTCATTTGTAAGGAGCACACGGAGCTCCTGAGATTTGTACATCTCTGTTTTAATGTATGAATATGTTTTTATAAATATAGGGATGCACAGATACCAGTTTTGTAAATACAAGTACTGGTACTTGCCCAAGTACTTACAAGTAGGAGTACTGATACATTTTTGTTTATTGTCATGTCACAGTTTTTCTAAAACAATATCGACGAATGATTTCAGGACAGTGATGGAGCACCAGAGCCAGGTCCTAGCTGCAACCGCTGCAACCCTGGTAGTTCTCATGAAAATGCCAAGTATCGGCATTGGTACTCGAAAAGTATCGGTGCATCCCTACGTATGATAGGTTGACTTTAGTTTAAAGTGTCCTTTTTTCAATTCCCTGTTAGCCCATGTGACTGATTGAGTTAACATGTCACATTGTAAGGCAATTAAATATCTTGTTCGGATTCTGATGTTAGTTTACCTACGGCTGCAGCTGATTGTACAGCCTTTGTCACACTAGACACCCTGTTGCTGGAAACAACTCTCCACTATCAGTATTAAAAGTGAGGGAAAAATAGCATGAAAATACTAAGTTATGTCTTTGGTGTTGCGTCCTTCCTGGCCAAAACAGCAAAGTCACGCTCTCTTGCAAATAAAAGAGATTCTTCATTATTTAATTCTGAAAGGAAATTATGTATGCCTATTCTAGCCAGAGAGGGGAGTTATGCCTTAGCAACAGGTGAGTGTTTTTATACTGCTATCTGGGGCTCTATTAGAGAGATTCCCTCTCACTTCATGTCCCCCTAACAACAGTTTCACCAGAATAAAGAAGATAATTTAGATTTCTCTGGTATTCTCTGATATAAAGCATTGCCTATCTTTACTGATCAGCAGGAAAGTTGGCTCTTACCATATCCACTGTGTACTAAAGCACTTCTGTACCCATTAGCCCCTTCTAAATTTTTAAAGATCATGCCATCTTTAGTATCGCACACCAAGTCTCTTTATAGTTTGAATTCTACATTTGCTCAAAGTGGTATCCTGCCTGCTTTCCAACTCCACCATGGTGCTGAAGCTGGGACTTGGCTTCAGTCATTGATTCTACATTATCACGTTCAGTGTAACTACTCTACTATTAAATTAATTAACTGCATGGTAGTAATACTTGCAATGTGACTTTTTTTAACTTATTAAGTGCCAGCGTCCATGGGTAAGGGACCCTAAAGAGCATATAGCAAGATACCTGCATTACAAGATACAGTATGGTGTACACCAAATAAAAATAAATGGAAGAGAAAATGAATATGTTTCAGATTCTAAGTGCACAGGCCTGTTAAGTGGCTGGTCTTCCACTACAATCATATGTATTTACACACCTTCAGTATAATCCTGAAAGAGTGAATGACATAGCTAATGTTTATATCACTAGCAGAATCTAAGGTTTTTGGCTCTTAACTTTTCTTGTTTTTAAATTAAATAGCAGTAAGTGCTATTTATTTGGTACGTTTTAACTAATTAACCTATATTTTTTGTCATGCACTTCTCAAATCCTATGCAAGGGGTTGATCTACCTATTTCAAATGCTGCCATCCTCATTTTCTAATGCTGATAGGTGTTGAGCTAACCCTTGGTATAGGGAAACTTTGCTGTAACATTGGATTTTCTGTATAGAAATGTACACACACTATTCTTATTTTCTGCTTTATTAAGTTATTAAGTGAGATGTTGGAGTCGGTGATTTATTCTAAACAATGCACTGCACTTTGATCCTACAATCTTTTCTTTGAATCTGTAAAATAAACAAAAGCCCTAACAATATAGTGTCATTGTAGCTCTAAGATCCATTACCCCGTTTTGTTGTATAAATATTTGCTTTATAGTTTGTTTCTATGGCAATTTAGGATTGTGCTTCAGAAATCAAGCCCCATTTTAACTTTTTTATTGACTGCTAAAAGTAGAACTTAAATTCAGAGTTAATGACTTGGGAAGTGAATGAGCCTTTTTGCACCAGTAGCTAGGAGTGCAGTCTGCATGGCACCAACTATAGTCTGATTTATAAATAAAATAGAAACAAAGTAACAAATTAAAGACTTTTTTCTTCATATTTTACACACGTCTGGCTATGCTGAGAATAGAAAATACAGTAGCATTATTCAACATTTTCATCTTGCATTTCTTTACTACATACAATGCTTTGTAGGCACTTAATTGTAAAATGACTATTTAAAATATTTTATAGCAACATTTTATGCAGGTAAAATGTGCTTGTGCATGTTTGCATACACACACTTACTTTATTATCAATGCTTATTTTTTATTTACTCTGCATAGTTAATATTTATTATGTTAACGCATATCTGAAACCAAGAACAAAAACTGAATATTTTGTAGCTTACTGGTCCTTAGATTTAGTGAACATTTAAGTTTTCTTTTTTCACACTTTATTTCTACCTGGTAATCCTTCTCATAACACACTACCTGTCCCTGGGTGGCTACGCTGACTCCTCTATTGTCTATGGAAGGTGCCATGATTGTCACTCACGCTCGACTACAAATATGTCTGCCTTTGTTCATCTTTATTATATAGATCAATAGTTTACAGAAAAGAATACTATTGTTTATGCTTTCAGTTCAACTCACAGGAACCGACAAGGACACTGCATTTCTTATAATACTTGCTAAAAATGTTTTTAACATGGAAAATTTTAATGAATGCAGCCATCACATCTAAAGATGGGTAAGCTGCAATATATTAAATTTTTGTTCTTGGGTTTAATTATCCTTTAAATATCTGATAAATATTTACCACCAGATCCATTAAAGTGACATTAAAGTCAAAGTTTTTTTCCCCCCTTCCCAATCCTGCTGTAGGGACTTACCTACAGAGCGCTGACTCCTCTGTCCTTCTCTTCGCTCATGTCCCACAGTGTCTGTGTGGGTGCACGCTGCTCCATAGACTTACCTTGTGTCTCTCCTTGTCTCCCGGCCGAACACCTGAACTGCGCATGCGCCCGCCCCAAGATCCTTTGTGGCCCCCGAGACTCTTCAGATGTTCAGATGGGAGCGCGCAGTGAAGACAGAGGTAAGTTTAAACCTCTTTCAAAAGGTTTTTTTAAAAGTTTTTGCATATATCTACTGCCTGCTAGCAGTATGCAAAAAAGTGAGGGTTTTATAACCCTTTAAGTATTTCTTTAGCCAAATCCGATCTGATTATATGTTGACCTTAAAAACAATTGGGTGCATTTTCAATGAATAGTAGATGTTAAAAATGAATAATTTAAGTATTTCAGGGATTTAAATAATCTCATACAGAATACAATCTACATTGAGTTATTTTATCATTGTTAACTATTCTTTGAGCTACCTACCGGGTTCGCTCACCTCTCGATCCTGTCACGGCTCTCTGCCGTGACAGGGGAGGGGCTGGATTCCCCTCTCCCCACTCCGATCCACCAGCGCTGACTGGCGGAACGGACGGGGGCGGGTATAGCTGGCTCTGCCTCTAGATAGGCAGAGCCAGCTGTCCCTCACACAGCTGGGCGGATCTTGACATCGATGTTGGGATCCGCACCGGCTGTGGCGTCTCAGTATACCGCGAGGACGCTAGTTTGTGTCCTCCCGTTACCCTAAGGAGAACTATGGGGAAAGCCCTGACCCCATAGTTCTCCTTTAAAATACTTTTTTTTCTTATTAACAATGTACTTCCTGCTTCCCTACATGAGTTCCATGTGCTGGCAAAAATATATGAATAACAGTCACACTCCTCACCTCAAGTGTCCTCACAGACACATGTAGTGCTAGAAAGAGAGAAAGCATGTTAATCTGCAGTTTCTTCAGTGAGTAAGATATTTTCTTAAATAGGGACTAAAGACAAATAAGCTGTATACTTTGCAAGTTTTGCACTTTGCAGGGGACGTTTCCCTTAGCTTAGTGAATTGTGTTGACATTTCAATTTGCAACGAATACCTAATCATGTTCAATGAAAATTAAAAAAAGCAGTTTTTT